ATTTGTCTGATTTGCCTTTCAGGTCAAATTAGTGATATTTCAAGGCAAAAATTAGTGATATTTCAAGGCAAAACATCGAAGGGTTCTAATTTAAGTTGTGAACTGAGATATGGTTCAGATGCTTTCTCTATTATTATTATTATTTCTGCTGATCCCGGGGCTTGAACTCAGGGCCTGGGCACTGTCCCTGAGCTCCTTTTTGCTCAGGGCTAGTGTACCACCACTTGAGCCACAGCTCCACTTCTGGCTTTTTGGTGATTCATTGGAGATAAGAGTCTCACAGACTTTCCTGCCTGGGTTGGTTTCAAACTGCAATCCTCAGATCTCAGCCTCCTGGGTAGCTAGGATGACAGGCGTGAGCCACCCACACCTGACTTCCATTATTTTATTTATTTTTGCCAGTCCTGGGGCTTGAACTCAGGGCCTGGGCACTGTCCCTGAGCTTCTGTGTGCTCAGAGCTAGCACTCTAGAGCCACAGCACAACTTCTGGCCTTTTCTGTGTATGTGATACTGAGGAATCGAACCCCGGGCGTCATGCGTGCTAGGTGAGTGCTCTACCACGGAGCTGCCCTCCCAGCCCATGCCAGGATGTTACTGCTTGGAGAGCTTAAACCTGGCAGAGCAGCTTGGTTTCACAGCGCCCCCTGCTGTTGTCTGGTGAGTTTTACTGCTCCACTCCAACCAGAGACTGCAGACCCGGAAAGAAGCCAACAGTGGCCCAGAAATGAACCCGGAATATGAGCAGGCTCAGGTGCACCGAACAGAACCCTGGGACGTCTTCCACCGCCACTTCTCCCAAGTTCCTAGGCTTCTTGATTGGGCCTTTAGACAGCTAACCAACACTTCCGAGTCCCACTGCTGATGCCGGCATCCCGGCCTGGCCCTGCGGGGGGCATCCTGGCACCCGGAGTGGCCAGCCGCTCAGCCTCAGATTGGAGGCGTAGCCTGGTCACACCTGGAAGGCCTTCACACACGTCTCCAGAAGCAAACCAGGAGACACAGCAGGACGCAGACCTCGGGGCAGGACGCGGACCTCGGGGCAGGACGTGGACCTCGGTGCAGGCCTTCCTTCCCCAAAGGGTAACTCTTCATTGTTTACCCACACACATGCCTTCCGTATCAGACCTCGTTTATCCGCTCCTCTGTCCACAGACACAGTTGTTCCACACCTTGCCGCTGTGAATGGCACCATGGGGACAACATGCTCCTTCATGACAAAAACTTCTAAATAGTTTTAGTTTTCGAGGCACTTCCATGCTATTTTCTATGCCCATCACCTGCCCGTGTGCATGGATGGCTTCCTGTCCAGGTCCTCAATGCTGGCTGTCTTTCGATGTAGGTGATAGCTCGCTGTGATTCTGTTTCTCTAATTATTGATGCTGACACGTTTACATATACTTCTTGGTCTTTGTTTTTTTTTTTTGGAGGGGGGGGTCCAGTCGTGGGGCCTGAACTCTGGGCCTGGGCGCTGTCCCTCAGCTCTTCAGCTCAAGGCTAGCACTCTACCACTGGAGCTGCAGCACCACTTCCAGCTTTTTCTGAGTGGTTTATTGGAGATAAGAGTCTCCCACACTTTCCTGCCTGTGCTGGCTTTGAACCGTGACCCTCAGGTCTCAGTCTCCTGAGTAGGATCACAGGTGTGAGCCACCAGCGCGACATTAGTGAAGTTTTTAAAAACCTACAGCTTTCTCAGTGAGTAAAAATAAAATACCCACGAATGGCAACAGCACCACAGAGGAAGGCGAAGACCAAAGATCTCTGTCCGGTCTCCTGGGCTCTTCTGTAAGGAGCTGAGCGGTGGACAGCTGCTTTCCCGCCGAAGACACTTTAAACGTCCGCAAGATCCATTCTGTCCACAGCTTTTGACATTAAATAAAAGAACTCTCAGGACATCTTCATACAGAGTGGAAAGAAATTTGGTCTCAAGGTTATTTAAGATGAGAAAATTCAAATTATAATTTGGCAATAAGGAAGTGGTTTAAATAATTTAAAATGAAGGATGAGCTACAGGAAGTTGTTCTTTGGTGGTCGTTTTTGTTTCAATCGCCACAAGCAAGACGTAGATTTAAAAAACAGACCACAGGGCACAGCTAGCGTTTCTGACAGGCATGTGCAGGCAGGATTCTAGAAACAGCAATCATTTAACAAATTGTGCCATTAAAAGTCATAATAGGTCTAAGAGCT